GTGAGACAAGAGGGAAGGCAGCTAGTCATCACCACCCGTCGCCAACTCTTTGGCCACTCTTTTTTCCAACGAATAGTGGGATTGACCGTCACACTATAACGCCCCCACGGCTGAAAGGGCGAGCATGTTTGGTGGGACGGAAACCCTCAGATTGTGAGTCGAGTGTCCTAACCACCTGGTCATTCTGAAGGGTACTGACTGGATGTTAACTAATTTGTTCGTTCGTTACGTTTTTCACAGCAGTTTGAAAGATACTGGACCTCTAACTAACCAATTCATTTGCGCGTGTGAAGTTTTTGTTGCATTTATAAAGGTAATGGGCACCAAAAACCAATTTATTTGTGTGTGGACAAATACTTCGATGACCACAGTGCAACCGCTTGAAGGTTTACGGTATAAGCTTTATATCATGTTACGTTTGCCACAAGATGGCGATGGATATAAAGGCAGGAATCCATGTTTTTGTTTTGTTGTTAAGAGCAAAGTTGCACAGTGTGATATCTGTGTTGTGATCACTCCAGGGATCAATTCATGAATTTTAGCGTTATAACATCTCAAGCTTCCGGCTGATTCACAGGGGGCATCAAGCAACCAAACTATAGTTGTAAACGTTTATACAAATGTAAATTATATTGATAAAAACTATACCATATAAGCGGTTTCTACAATATGAAAATAACTCGTGCCCATATTTTTCTTAAATATCTTATTTATTTACCAAATGTCCAATAAAACACTTTACCAGAAATAATGATGCACGACTCCCAAAACTATTCGCAAATAAATAAGTATATAATACATATCAATTAAGAATATCTGTTCCTGTATTAATTAAAATAAAAAACATGTAAACATAAAAATTTAAACTACTGATATTTTTTACCAGCAGGAAAATGTATCAGGCCTGCTTGTAAATCTTAAATCGGAAAAAGCAAAACGTATAATTTATTATATGTATTTTCATCAACTAAAATGTATTATATGTATTTTCATCAACTAAAATGTATTATATGTATTTTCATGAACTAAAATGTATTATATGTATTTTCATGAACTAAAATGTATTATATGTATTTTCATGAACTAAAATGTATTATATGTACTTTCATCAACTAAAATGTATTATATGTATTTTCATCAACTAAAATGTATTATATGTATTTTCATCAACTAAAATATATTATATGTACTTTCATCAACTAAAATGTATTATATGTATTTTCATCTACTAAAATGTATTATATATGTATTTTCATCTACTAAAATGTATTATATATGTATTTTCATCTACTAAAATGTATTATTTGTTTCAGTATTCTCAACGTACAACTGGCTGTATTGCTAGATAACTTATATAACTGTTGATGCAAAACAATCTTATAAATGTACAGTTAACACAGACAAGGTGCCTACAATTATATGACGATGATTACTTGACCAAGTTAATGTTTTGAGTTTCTTATATAGAAGGCAACTTCATCACTACTTTATCTATAGGCTGGTGTTAACAATTTTATACACTTCACTATACCTACATACATATATATTTACAGAGGTTGAGCACATTATCAAAATAGACTTCGGATTTTCACCACGTCGTTACGATCCATGTCACCATGTCCTGTCACATTCTATCTGACGACTAAGCAATTTGACAATAGCCCTGTAGTTTCCATTGCAAAAAGTTTCGGTGTGAGGATGCCTGTCCAAAGCAAACTACTCGTTCCTGCATGCTTTCCATAAGTCATTTAGCATACGAGAAAAACGATTTTCCAGGGCCAGTCGAATTGTACAGAAATTTTTAGGCGCTGCCTTGAAGTATCCAATAGCTGAACAGATATGTCGCAAAAGCAACTTGTGTACACATGATTTGTGTCCTATTTCCAAACGGGGAACATTCTTGATTATGTTGCTTACTGTTGTTGTTCACTGAATTTCGCGCAAAGCTACTCGAAAACTTTATGCGCTTGCCATCTCTAATTTTGAAGTGATAAATTAGAGGGAAAGCAACTAGTAAAAATCACACACCGCCAATTCGTAAATTACTGTAATCGAATAGTGGGATTTAACCGTCACTCTTATAACGCACACACGACCCCATAATACGGAACGCGAGCCACAGAACCTTGGATCATAGTCCGAAACGCTAACCACTGTGCCGTGCTTGGCCTATGTAGGGTATGTGAACGGCTTTTGCCAATGATCTTTATGTCCGTGGATTCTCAACTGCTACAAGACATTGTATTTTGTTCACCACAGCTCGGGTACGACTTTTTGCAAGTCTCTTTCTGGATAGTTCTGGTGCCCAAAGTGGGTCCATATTCTTTGTTTTCCAAATACAAAGATATCCCCATTGTTAAAATTTTAAATCCCCAATCTGAATATATCTTTATGGTCCGAGTATACGAATACTTTTGCGTAGGAAAAGGCTGTTACATACCCTTCCCAAAAGCGATCAATTTTCGGTGGCATCGCCCTATATACTTAAGCAACGCCAAACAATGTCAGAATGTACTTCTGATAAATGGCGTCCCACTGCGACTTTATATCGGTTGTGGTTGTCATGTGACTCGCTACTTATGTATTCAAAATCGTTTCAATGTAATATGTGTATATGTGACTACAATCCATAAACTATGAGCATAATATTCACAGTTAATATCCGAAACCAACTCTTTTGTTTTAATAACACAAGCCAGCCACCGGGGGCTGCTGCCTGAGAAAAGTTGTAAATGTATTATGTGAATCTAGTAGGTGTTTTATATCTGAAAAGGCTAGGCTAGCTTTATTTTAAGAGTTTGGAGCGTAAAACCTTTACACAAAACTCTGTATTCAAATGCAATGAGGGAGAATACACAATAAGCGTGTTCATTTCGACTAGTTATTATGACCGATATAATTGCACGCTTCCTTCTTATGTAAATGATATTAACATTTTAATAAGTGTTGCTAAGCAACCAGAAAACAAGCAATATGCTTGAGGGTAAGTCTTCTAATTAAAGTTACCAACAAAACATTATAGAATGAGTTGAGTAAATGAAATACAATAAATCTGATTCCTTGCACAAAGCAACCAGAGCTTAGGTTGTGACAGTAAAAATAAAGAGGTCTAAATGAATACAGGAGCATATGATACACCATTCCTCTCTAAGTAATTATATCTATTATTAATTTGCCTTTTTTGCATTTTCTTTCTAGGTTCACTTTTCTCATTTCGAATTGAAGACCATGCTAGTGTTATGCTACCGATCATTTTTATTTTCGATTTGCCATGTGACAGTTTCTTACCGATTAACATAAATACTATGGCGCTAACCTTATATGACCGAATAGGGGGATTTGACTGTCACTATTATAGCGCACCCACGGCCTGAAAGTACATAGCGTATTTTTGCGACAATTGTTTCTTTGGTATATTTTGGATTTCGCGCAATGCTACACGAGAGCTATCTGCGCTAGCCGTCCCTAATTTAGCAGTGAAAGACTAAAGGGAAGGCCACTAGTCATCACCACCCACCGCCAACTCTTGGGCTACTCTTTTACCAACGAATAGTGGGATTCACCGTAAATTTATAACGCCCCCACGGCTGAAAAGGCGAGCATGTTTGGAGGGACGGGGATTCCAACCCGAGACCCTCAGATTGCGAGTAAAACGCCCTAGCCACCTGGCCATGCAG